AGAAGATTACAAGGAGGGAGGGGGGAGTGGAGAAGGTTACAGGGAGGGGGGAAGATTACAGGGAGGGGGGATAAGATTACAGGGAGGGAGTGGAGAAGATTGGAGGGAGGCGGGAGAAGAAGAAGATTACAGGGAGGGAGGGGGGAGATGATTACAGGGAGGGGGGAGAAGAAGAGAAGATTACAAGGGAGGAGAAGAAGAGATTACAGGGACGGGGGAGAAGAAGAGGAGAACACGGGGAGGGGGAATAAGAGGAGAACATGGGGGGTGGGAGATGAGAACGTAGGGGAGGGAGAGACCACTAAAGGAGGGAGGGGGCGGTGGAGAGACCACTAGGGGAGGGGTGTGAGGAGAGACTGCTAAAGGAGGGGGGTGGAGGATAGACCACTAGGGGAGGGTGGGGGGAGAGGAGAGACCACTAATGGAAAGTCGGGGAGAAAAGGAGACCACTAAGGGAGGTGGGGGGGGAGAGGAGAGACCACTAAGGGGCAGGGGAGATCTCTAAGGAATGGAAGGGAGAGCTCTATAGGACAGGGAGCTCTTTCACACCACGCGCACACACACACACACAATGCATCCCTATACACACAACAACACAACATGCTTCCCTTACACACAGAGAAACACACAATGCAACCCTTACACATAAAGACAATGCATCCTTTGCACATATACACAGAAACACACAATGCATCCCTTAAACACACATGCAAACACACACTGCTTCTCTTACACACACACAGAAACACAATGCATCTCTTACCCACACTCAACGGACCCCTTACAGACACACACACTGCATCCCTTACATACACAGAAACAGACTTTGCATCCCTTATGCATACAAACACAGATTCACACAATGCATCCCTTACACACAACAAGAAACACACAATACATCCCTTATACACAAACACTTTATATCCCTTACACAAAAACACACTGCTTCCACTACACACAAACACACTGCATCACCTACACAAACTGGTATCCCTACACACTACATTCCATATGCACACACATTAGATCCTCTACACAACACATAACACATCCCCTACACACTCTACTCCCTGTGAGCGGACTCATGAGTGGAACACTTAGGTGGACTTATGGGTGGGCTTTATGGGCATACTCACCGTCAGGCCCTGGGGCCCAGACCTTGAGCTATGTAAGAGGCCCCAAAAAATTGAGCTGCTTCCCGTTCTCCCAGAACATTGAATTTTGTGACCACAGTTACAAACAGCCTCCAGAGATCCTGTTCTACACCAGACCAGTGGAGCCAGACTGCAGCCAGAGCCCATCACCATCCTCATCTGCTTGTAAGTAGGTAATCTAGTATATTATTAGTGACACTAATCTCTAATTTACCTCACATTAAATGGACACTATAGTCCCCAGAACCACTGCAGCTTAATAAAGTTGTTCTGGTGTCTATAGTTTGTCCCTGCAGGCTTTTTAATGTAAACACACACCGTGTGCAGCACTGGCACTAGTTCATATGGCAACTCATATGGGTGGGGCATTGCGATGCACCTACAAATCTTTCTTTTGCCTAGGGCGGCAAAAATCCTTGCACCGGCCCTGATGCTTTACCAGCATTATGGGTGTAAGAGCATTACGGGGATGTAGTCCACAACATCTGGAGTGCCGAAGATTGCCTATGCCTGTACTAAACTGTGAGTTGTCAGAAATTCACCAGGCAATTTAACCCCTTAAGGACCAAACTTCTGGAATAAAAGGGACTCATGACATGTCACACATGTCATGTGTCCTTACGGGGTTAAAGGGTCACTCCAAGCACCGTGAACACTTCAGTGATTTGAAGAGGTTGTGGTGCCTGGAATCTGTAACACTTTACATACAGAGTTTGACCCCTTTGCTGCAGAAGTTGTGTAACTCCACTTCTGGAAGCGCCATTGGAGTCTGATTAGTCAGCCGAAACAAGAGTTCCGGGATGGTTCATGTCAATTCTGTGCATAGTGCTCTGCACAGAGTTGCATTTATTGGATGAGAGTGGTCAGCTGACACTATCAGCCAATTAATGGCAGGCAGGATATGTGTCACCAGCCATAGCCCAACAGGGTTGTGAGAGGCAGAGCGCTATAGTTGTAATGATGGTTGGAGTAACCTTCTAAATATTTCGGTCCAAAATAGGCTCAATTGAAAAAATCTTTCAAGCCATCTGTGTTTCCAGCTCAACTATTTTGGCCTTAAATTTGCAATTTCCTATGAAATTCCTACAACTTCCACTATAATACATACTACTTCATTGATAATGAATGATGGCTGCCTATGGGAAATGAATTATCACATAGATCAATTCATATGCCAGCACTGTGTGACTCCTGAAAATGTGTACCAATACTAGCACTTTTTGGGTTATTTACTAAAGGGAGTATTGTCAGATTGTCGGATTTAAAGAGACACTTCAGAAACCAAAACAACATCATCTAATTGAAGTTGTTATGGTGCCAGAAGATGGTTCAACCCCAAAGTTGCCTCCAGTGGCGATGTCCTTTACCTCCCCCCCAGCGACATTCAACTTCTGAAGTTTCAGATTCAGGACGCGCAGAGTGCTGGAGTGCTGGCGGGCAGGGGGTCCAGTGAGTGCGTCAACTGACACTATCAACCAATCAGTGATTTCCTATTCACTAAACCGGCTTGGAATAGGTGCCTTTCTTTCCAAGCCAGTTTAGTGAATTCGGTGCTTAGTGAGCCAACCCACGACTTGTCAGAGCTTATCTCACCATTTGACTCTGAATTACTTTAAGTGAAAATTTGAAATACAATTTCTGGTACAATTTGGGAATTGTCCTCAGATTTTAGACACATTTAATTGTAATAACTGTAAGCTGATAACTCTAAGCGTATAGTCCAACATCGGGCTATATATTGCAAGTTAACTCACCACATCTCTCACTTACAGGAACAGGAACCTAAAGATTTGTCCATTTAACATTCTCATGACAGACGACTTGATATAACATGATTTAGTGGATCAGAAATGGTTAAATAAATTTAAAAATCTAAATATTTTCAATCACTACGTGACTACGTGAAAATGTATAATGCTAGATACATAGATAAATTACTTATAATGTATTACTGAAAAGATAGAGACAGATATGACTGATATTACTGAAAAAAGATTAGACAGACAGACAGATCTAATATATATATATTGTGTGTAGATTGGTTTAGCAGTATTAGTCCAGTAGACTATTGCAGAACCTTTTTATTGGACTAAAATAATACTTAAAAGATAAGCTATCAAGAGTTTCCTCTCTTCCTCAGGTTAAATGCAATACTGATCAATATAAATATATATACTACATATTATAATGTTGTTATTATTAAGCACAGATATACTGATACAAAGTATCTCACACACACATATAAGGTTGTGTTGCTGTGAACTGATCTGCCAGGTGGCACCCTCCCCGCCCATCCCCTCTACTACCCCCTTCCACTCTCCCCTGGGGGAGATATGTGCAGGCTGTGGGGGAGGGGGCTGCAGTTCCTGGTGTGATGACATCACCACAAAAGGTGTATTGCCCTTTTAAGATGGGCTGTGGCTTGTTGCCCTTTTAAGAGAAGGCAGAACCCGGGACAAGAGGAAGTGATAGAATGTAACAGAGAGGAAAGAAAGAAAGAAAGAGACAGACCAGAGAGAGATAAAGAAAGGAGATAGGGGAAGCAGGCAAGGGGTGCCAGGATCTGTGTAATTGGGCAGAGTAGGAGGTGGGCAGTGAGACTGGGAATTAAAGGGTCAGGGTTAATCACTGCTATGCTGGAATAGTTGAGGTGGGTGTGAGGGAGCGCAGGAAGAGATCTGGGGTGGAGAGAAGGGTGGGGTGAGGGACAGAGAGATTAGCTAAGAGCCAGGTGGCGGCAGAAATCTGGGGGCTGAGAGATAGAGGCGGCCACTGCCAGGGGAGGTGAGGGCAGAGGGTGGGGGGACAGGAGGTGACACACATTCCTACCTGCAGGAGGCGGAAGCTGACACCTCAGCATGAGGTGAGTGAATCACTGTGCCAGCTCTCCCTGTGTACCCTACTGCTGTACCAACTGTACTGTGCCAGCTCCCCCTGTGTCCCCTACTGCTGTATCAACTGTACTGTGCCAGCTCTCCCTGTGTCCCCTACTGCTGTACCAACTGTCCTGTGCCAGCTCCCCCTGTGTCCCCTACTTCTGTATCAACTGTACTGTGCCTCCTCTCCTTGTTTCCCCTACTGCTGTACCAACTGTACTGTGCCAGCTCTCCCTGTGTCCCCTACTGCTGTACCAACTGTACTGTGCCAGCTCTCCCTGTGTCCCCTACTGCTGTACCATCTGTTCTGTGCCTCCTCTCCCTGTGTCCCCTACTGCTGTAGCAACTGTACTGTGCCTCCTCTCCCTGTGTCCCCTACTGCTGTAGCAACTGTACTGTGCCTGCTCTCCCTGTATCCAATACTGCTGTACTGTGCATGCTCTCCCTGTGTCCCCTATTGCTGTACCGACTGTACTGTGCCTGCTCTCCCTGTGTCCACTACTGCTGTACCGACTGTACTGTGCCTCCTCTCCCTGTGTTCCCTACTGCTGTACTGTGCATGCTCTCCCTGTGTGTACTACTCCTGTACCAACTGTACTGTGCCTGCTCTCCCTGTGTCCCCTACTGCTGTACTGTGCATGCTCTCCCTGTGTGTACTACTCCTGTACCAACAGTACTGTGCCTGCTCTCCCTGTATCCCCCAACTCATGTGCCTGCTCTCCCTGTGTCCCCTACTCATGTGCCAACTGTACGGTGCCTGCTCTCCCTGTGTCCCCTACTCCTGTGGCAACTGTATGGTGGCTGCTCTCCCTGTGTCCCCTACTCCTGTACCAACTGTACTGTGCCAGCTCTCCATGTGTTCATTACTGCTATACCAACTGTACTGTGCCAGCTCTCCCTGTATGTACTACCCCTGTACCAAACTGCACTGTGCCTCCTCTTCCTGTGTCCCCTATTGCTGTACCAAATCTACTGTGCCTGCTCTCCCTGTACCCCATCTCCTGTACCAACTGTACTGTGCCAGTTCTCCCTGTGTCCCCTACTCTTTTTACCAACCATCCCGCTGCTTGCCGTCCCTGTCCATTACTCCCCTATCAGCTACCCCTGTGTCTGCATTATTTGTGTCCCTTAATCCTCTATGAGCTCAAACGGTGTTCCCTACTTTGCTTGCTCTCTGTAACCCTTATTCCCACGGTGCCTATCCCTGTGACCTTTAGTCTTGTGCCAGTGTTTTTCTATATCTGCATTGTCTATGAAACCTGCTCTTTTACCATCTCTACCTGTATCTGCTCTCTCTGTGTGTCCCCTACTCCTTTGCCTACAATATCTCTTACAGCATACATCACCTTTTTTACATGGCTGCCCTCCTTGGGTCCTTAGTCCCATGGCTGCCCTCCTTGGGTCCCTAGTCCCATGGCTGCCCTCCTTGGGTCCCTAGTCCCATGGCTGCCCTCCTTGGGTCCCTAGTCCCATGGCTGCCCTCCTTGGGTCCCTAGCCCCATGGCTGCCCTCCTTGGGTCCCTAGCCCCATGGCTGCCCTCCTTGGGTCCCTAGCCCCATGGCTGCCCTCCTTGGGTCCCTAGCGCCATGGCTGCCCTCCTTGGGTCCCTAGCGCCATGGCTGCGCTCCTTGAGTCCCTAATCCCATGGCTGTGCTCCTTGGGTCCCTAGCGCCATGGCTGCCCTCCTTGGGTCCCTAGCGCCATGGCTGCTCTCCCAAGATCCCATTCTCATGTGCCCCCTAATGCTGTGCCAACCATCTCTGGGTTTACTGCTTCTGTGTTCCCCACTCATGTGCCAGGTATCCCTGAATATGCTAACATATGTTTTTCCTACCCACATGCCTGCTATCACTGATTTCATTTCATACTGTGATTGGTAAAATTGTATCTTCTGTGCATGTTATCACACGATTTACCTCTGTGCCCACTGATTGCAGTGCCTGTGCCAACAAAGGAAGCTGCCCCTTGCCACTTCACCCTGCCTGCCATTCCAATGTATGTTTAACAGCATCCCAAGTTGGTATGCACTATGGCTGCCTCCATAGCCCCAAAGCCAGTGATGGTTGCCCACCTGACATTGTGTCTATCACAATACCAACTACAGCTATTTATACTCTCATTGTGTCTACTCGGTCTGATGCTTCACTGTCTTCTCCCTGCTGCCATGTGCCTACTGCCAGTGCTGTTCCCAGTGCCTACTGCCAGTGCTGGGTTCCTTGTGCCTTCTGTCAATACCCAGACAGTTTACATCATGATGGATCATAAAGAATTCTGTCTAAAGATCAGCCCTGTAGCAATGTTCTATTAGTCACCATCAATCACTGTGAATTTTCTATTGACTTTCATTGAGATTGCTCCACTTTTATAACTTTGCTCCTCCAGTCTCTTTCCAAATACCATCGTACGTTGCGTGCGGTGCCATGTATGAATTTGGGGAATGGTATAAACGTCTCTGGGTGTGGGGTTTCAGGATGTCTCCACAGGTGTCTAGAACAAAATGTCTGAGCTATAGACTCCAAATACATACAATACAATCATTGTCTAAAGATGGTTAAGAACACCACCTTTGTAGTGTCACTTTGTCGCTGGCTTTGTTGTAGAATTCCAACCACACGTTTATTCACAGAGATCTACATTCCATGTGCTGTTGGGATTTACATTTAAATGGCTGCCCGGCACTATCAAGAATTCACAAACTGCCAAAGGAATTCTGTTTACTAATGGTGGAAGGGAACCACCTCGATTAAATCATTGGCCTACCTCAGTCTGCATACTTTTGTGCAGAACTAATCTGTAGAATATATTCTAATCTTTTTTTCAAGCAGGGCCCTCAATAACTTCTCATTTCTTTTTAACTTTTGTAACAGTTTGTCTCTTATTTGCTGTTATAGGCCCACTTGAAACTTGTAAGCACTGTGAAATATTGCTGATAACCGTAACAATAAATCACCCGAGAACACTGTAGTACTTATTGCTCTCTAGGAAAATACGGCCTAGGTGGCAACTCGGTGCATTTGCATTAGCAATATATGTGTGTGTATAATGTGCTAATTTACGAATATTTGCATGACTGGAAAAAGGCTGTTTCTCTGAAATGACTGCTCACCCTCTGCTGCAGCCACAGCCACAGCCACATTCTATGGCTAATGAATGTAAAAAGGATGTGTACATACATGTTCTCTTTCTGCTCAACATCTGTACTAAAATATTTATGTGCAATAGAAATGTGTTCTTGTCTGACACACGCAATCAAAATTCAGTAAGTTTCAAGCCTTTTTGGAAATTCACATTTAAAAACGACCATTTACTTCCTTATTTTTTTGTGTGTAATGAATGGAATTATTTATTTTGGTATAGCGTGTGTGCGTGTTGGTTCATCCTTTTTAGTTACAAATTCATACTGATATGTTATGTCATTATTTCCTCTCTCATTTCTCTCAATTTTTTTTTATTTTTTTTAACATAAATTCTGTGGATAGAAGTAGGAACTCTCAGTGATAGACTGTAAAAAGCAAAATCTATACATGATCGATCTGATCCAATAACCCAAAGGTGCTAAACTTTGTGGACTACATTTCCCATAATTCTGTGTCAGCCATTGGCAGAGAATTATGAGAATTACCATTCAATAGCTGGATGGACTATAGTGAACACTCCAGATAGTGAGACATAATGACACAATACCTACACCTCCCTCTCTACTTGTGTCTCGCTCTCTTTCTCTCCCACATTGTCTGTCTCTGTCTCTCTGTGTCTATATCGCTCTCTCACCCCTGGTTCTCTGGTTCCTGTCACTTGTGGTATCTCCTTGTCTTTCACACGCAGCCTTATATGGACAAAACCACAACATAAGTTGAGGGGGGAGCAGGGGGAAATAGTTAAGGGAAGACCAGTGTTATATGTGTGTGTGTTTGTACATGTGTGTTTCAATAGTTTTCCCAGCGTCTCTGACTGCATATTGAAAGCATAGGCCCCTTTCTCTTTTAGGACATTCAAAACCCTGTGAATTGTGTATTGTTCCAGTAATATTTTATTACAATAACACACAATCAACATATTTTTTATTTTTTTTTGTGTACACTAACCGGAAGGGGCCTGGGTGATGTGCTCACATTTTTCTTGTTCCGTTTTGTGCTATGCCTGTTGTTTTATAAAGAACAAAAATTAGCATTTATTTATTTTTTGTCTGTTTGTTTTTCACTCTGATTTAGTTTTTGTATATTCTGCATGGATTCTTGTGAAAGAACTCCCACATTCTGGAGAAACCCACTCACTGTACTCTAAAATTGTAACAAGCAATCTAAATGTGTGTCTGAAATGATATTTTAAAGCTGGTGAGAAACCGGTCAAAAATGCTGATAATTGTATGCAAACCCTACACTTATACATTTATGTACACTGCAATATTTTTAAAAGTGTATGTTACTATACTATACCTACATAAACCTAAAAGGTAACTTGGTTCCTCAAAGACTGAGACTTATGGGAGTCAAAGCTCAACGGGGACAACAGTTTACAAAAAAAAAAAGATATTTTGTCATTTGCCTGCACGCACTTCTGCTAGTTTACATAATATCCATCGGAGGTTGTTGCAGTAACAAACAAACTATAATCTATATTTTGCACATGCTAAACAGGATTCTGTGGTCAATAGGAAACCCAGAAGTTTTGCGTGGCATTTTGCAGGCCTTTTATTAGCGATACTTGTTTGTGTTCGTGGGGTCTGTGGCTGGAGGACTTCTCTATGTAACATTGAACAGTTTGTAGGGCAGGTTATGTGATGTACAACTCATTGGGGATTCATTTAGTAATACCGCCAGTAAATAATGCAAATATTAGACCAATGCAACAGAAGCGACAGAATTTGGCAACTTTGAAAATCTGGGGGCAAAATAACATTTCTATTTCTCCATGACGAAAACACCATATCACGTTCCACACACAAATATTTTGCTGAAATATTATTAATTATTATTATTTTATTATTTATATCGTGCCAGCAAATTCCATAGCGCTGTACTTATTAAACTAAACTATGAAAACCAGGAGGCACAGAAACATAGGGGGGATCAATTGCCTGAAACCCCACACTCACTTGGTAGCTGGCCATCAAGACTTCCAGAACCTAATATCTCTGGGTGACTTGGGTAACCCAAAAATATAACAAATTATACAGAACTCAACCTGTTAAAATACTGGGGGTAAGCTATCCCAACCACCACTCTCTGTCTGATATATCACAGTTATCGCACACATAGCAATACAACAGGTTTGTGTGGGGTGTGTGTGTGTGTGTGTGTGAGCTTCCGATCAACCAGCCATAACTTAAATGTAATGTTTAATAGAAAAGGGTAACAACACAGAAAACACAATTGTAGTTACAGGTATAAAATGCTAACACTAATAGTTGTTCATAGTCTTAAAGGATCACTATAGTGTCAGGAAAACAAATTGGTTTTCCTGACACTATAGTACCCTGAGGGTGCCCCCACCCTCAGGGTCCACCTCCCGTGGTGCTAAAACCCCTTCAGTTACTCACCTTATTCCACCGCCGGGCTCCCTTACCGGCAGTGGCGCGCGCATTCAAAGTGTCCATAGGAAAGCATTTCTCAATGCTTTCCTATGGACGCTCTGCGCGATGGAGGCATAATATGAGGCTAGAGGCTGGCTTAACTAGAGGCTGGCTTAACCCCAAATGTAAACATAGCAGTTTCCCTGAAACTGCTATGTTTACAGCAGGCAGGGTTAACCCTAGAGGGACCTGGCACCCAGACCACTTCATTGAGCTGAAGTGGTCTGGGTGACTATAGTGTCCCTTTAAATTGTCCAGAAACAGCTGCTAGCATAAGAGGAAGAGCTACTTGGGCTCTTTGGGGGGAGGGGTGCTTGTAGTTAAGCCACCACTCCACCACTTACATTACGGCCTAGTGATATCTTCACTGGCCACTCCTCAGATGGCTGTTAGAGATCCTTCCTGGGTCATGGCTGCCTAAAATGCATCCAAACATTCAGTATCTCCTCCCTCTGCATGCAGACACTGAACTTTCCTCATAGAGATTTGTTGATTCAATTCATCTCTATGAGGAGATGCTGATTGGCCAGGGCTGTGTTTGAATTGTGCTGGCTCTGCCTTCTTGTCAGTCTCAACCATTCCTATGGGGAAGCATTGTGATTTGATCAGGCTACCACTTCTGATGATGTCAGTGGGCGGGTCTAAAGGAAACAGGGACAAAGCAAGCAGCTCCAGACTTGAATACAACTAATATTCTACTGTATTTAGGGAGGCAAGAGAGGCCCAGGGGGCCTTGATGTTGGTTTTAACCCTATAGGGTCAGGAATACATGGTTGTGTTCCTCACCCTATAGTGCACCTTTAATTCTTTATACACTAGGGAAGAGAATATATTTTGTGGGTCTCTAGCTTTTGGCCATGTTGCTTTCTGTTGCTAAACAAAGTACAGGAGGGGCTTATTGACTAAACCACAACTACTGGTATAAGCAACAAGTCCTCATAAGTAGGACATTTATGTATTTAAATCTGGTATTGTGCAAATAGTTAATGCATTATTTGTGTCTATACATAATGGAATAACTATGCTTAATGTCAAATCCTTACCCATTGTCAAATCTAATTTTGTTTCTACCATCTTTATTTCTGTTTTATTCTGGGCAGTGAGACACCGGTGGTCACGGCTCGTGCCAATGTCATGGTATATGATGATGCCAGTAAAAAATGGATCTCTGCTGGGACTGGTGCCCAAGGACCAAGTCGTGTACAGATCTTCCACAACCCAGTATCGAATTCCTACCGCATCGTTGGACGGAAAATGCAAGATCAGCAGGTATGCCGGAGCATGGCCTATATCCTCAGAGGTGGGAGGGCCATGGTGGAGGATCCTCAGGGGCGGAGATTATCCCTGGAGAAAAGGGACAGTACTGTATAGCTAAATGTTGTTGTTGTTGTTTTAGAGTGGGGAATGCATTGTAATTCAATATCGCAGATTGTTGTGTTTTTTTGTTTTTGTTTTTTTTTTATAAAGTAAATGTGTTCTGAAAACCAAGATTCAATTTAATGTATTTAAAAGGCATTTTCTTGTAGCTGCTTGTCTTTGCAACCATTTGGAAGCTGCTAGCACATGTGCCTATAATTAAAATGACAGGTTAATCCTTTCCTTCATTGTGTTTTCTTGTGTTCTTTAGTACATTGAATAAGCCATTTCTGCTTTCTCCTGTGCCAGAAATGTCAGGTTTGATTACTATACTCAGTCCCGTATGACACGTTGATGGTGTATTCTATAAAACCTCTTACCTGTCGCTCTTACGGATAGCACAGTCAGGACTGTAAGAAGAAAGCGGTCTCTGCTGTTTGGAGAAGGCTGATTCTTCCCTCTCATTTGAAATATTTGTGCAACTCCATATCCACAGTTGAGTGGAGGGTCAGGGTGGATTCGAGCTTTGTGTTCCAGGTCTTTATAGCTGGATGAATGATCAAGGCTATAAGACCAGCCTGGGGGCTCCAACGCTCTTGTCCAGGGCCAAGTATCACCTAACCTGAAGCATCCTGTTGTCTTCTCCCTTTGGTGCTCCAGTTTTATTCCCTCCTAGTTTGTGTGTTTAGATATATTTTAATATGAAGTTCCTAATGAGTAATAGGTCCACTGTTTTCCAACAAAACTGTTCAGCCCTTCTTGGGGCACTGTCTTACAAGCCCTGAACTCTAGAGATATAGAACCATTCTTCATGAAGGAACAAATCCAGTACTTTGAGGAATGAAAGATGGAGAAAGGTTGTTGTTTTTTTTCACACTCTGTTCCCCCTGACACCTCTTAAAATGTCAATACTGAGATTGGGGAGGCAATGGAATTAGTTTGACTTTACCCTGGTGTGCATGAAACTGCTTTTGACTTTGTTTAGTGTGTTATTATCCAACTGTAATCCTGCAATATTTTGCGTGTTTGCACCATCGATTTGCCAAGTCATCCTACAACCACCCATTTCAATCATTTGACCTAATGACTCCAACAAGATGGCTGCCCATAGCATCATGGAGTTATTTCAATATTTACAGGAAACTAGTAAGCCCCACAGCCACTACAGCTCAGTATAGTGGTTATGAATTAGGGAGAAATGTCAAATACATCTAGCCTGTACAGCTGTGATAGGCAGAATGCTGTTGGTGACCCAACCCCTATCGTTGTCCAGCCATCCATTTCCATCCAGGTTTGATTGATTTCATGTTGATAATGTAATACTGCATTAGGAAGGTGACTGGAGAAGGGTCAGTTTATGTATGTCGATCCTGAACAGTCGGACAAAAAGAGTGAGATGGCACCCGTAGATTATTAGAAACATAACCACTACACTGATCTGTAGTGGCTATGGTGCAAACATTGCCCCGTTCACTTATAGGAACAGGCATTGTGCATATAGGGAATTTATTTTGGCTTTCAAAGTATATTTGTATGACTTTAAAAATGAGGTCAAAGATGACTCAACAGACCATATTTAAACGTTTTCCATTGCTCAGTAGCTGTGTGGTTTGTTTGTGTTTATTTTAATTTGTTTTGTTTTAACTGATACTGGCTCACAAAGATTTGAATCTGTGTTCAACCTAGGTAATAGTTTTGCGGTATTGAGCAAACCTTACATGATGTCTGTATTCCCCTGTTACTGAACGTCATATTATGGCTACTGTTCTTGTGTGTATATATATTATTTTTTGGACTTGTCTCTCTTGACACCATTTAGTTATTTTTGCCATGTTTGTAACTCATGCACTTGGACTCAGTGTATTTCATCTCTTTGAAACCTTGCCTACTTGCCTCCTGTTCATGTAAAGGGACACTCCAGACCCCTAAAGCACCTTAGCTCTCTGAAATGCTTTATGTGTGAACAGTGTGTCCACTTTATTTTCATTGTGCAAAAGTGCAGCTTTTAATAGAAATTGACACTTTAATAAAATAACCTGGCTATTCCCCCTTGGCTTTCAATCAGAACACTGTTCTGTTACTTCCTGGTTTGCTTAGCTCAGTGAAACTAAACTCAAGAGGCAGCAATTGCTCAGAGCACCTGCCTTGCAAAGACTTCTCATTGAGCTGCATTGGGAAGTCTGTGATTGGACAGACACAGAAAGTTTGGGTGGGCTTAGAAGAGGAGGGCTTGTAAAGGCTGCAAGAGTACTGCAGGTTTTGCAAGAGTATTTTTAGATATAACCCAAATGACAAAATGCATATTTATATGTATTCATGGTTTCATTGGGGTATATCTACTAAACAGTGATTTGTTTATTTTGTATTCGGGCAGTGCAGTGTACCTTTAAATCCTCACATGTTCCAGTGATAATGGCGAGACTGTTGACTCATAGTTGACTCATAATATTGATTGGCGATGAAGGTAATATGACTCACCTTTACAACTGCGTTTTGTAGTCAAGGTTTTTACAGGAACCTTCCAAGCATTATTATTATTATTATTATTATTATTATTATTATTTTATTTATATAGCACAAGCTTATTCCGCAATGCTTTACAATAAGAGGGGAATTTACCAAATGAGACAATAACACAATGTAACAGGAACAATAGGTAGTTGAGAACCCTGCTCAAACGAGCTTACACTCTCATTGTAGTGGTTATGGTGCCAGGAGTGGCCTGACACCATGCTTGTGTAATATGTCAGACCGGTTTAGAATGATTTGATTACTTACCTGGGTCCTGCAGGAGAAACCGGATAATTGAGTCTGCTAAGCATGGCGGTACCGGACCGTGCTGATAGGCGGAGTGCTCGGATCAGACTGAGCTAACCGGATTCTCCTGTAGTAAAATCCTTGAAAAATAGGGAAGGGGTTACGTGCAACTGATGGGACCATGTAAAAAGGTGGTTGTGCTACTTGTGTTCTTTAACCACGTAAAAGTTACGCTTCTATTATGTTTTTATTTATTTATTCTATGTAACCGGCAGCAATCAAACAGAGCCGTTCAACTTGGAATAAAAATAAAATGTTATTCCTTTCACAGAGCACAGAAGCAAGGATTGCAACACTGTTAGTATTGCACAATCTCCTAGACTGATAAGTAGGTTTTTGATCCATTAAACTGATCTGTCCCCCAGCATGTATATTAAATAATGTGGCTTGTCAGTTGGGGAGATTGGATTGATGTGCAGTGAGTTCTATCTATGGCTTTCGAACTGGTGTGATGAGGAGCTGAAATGATTTGTGACTGTCGCTTTAAGCCTTTGAATTCCAGTGCAGACTAACCTATTGATTTTGTAGTTGTTTGCATTACTCAGCATTCCCTGGAATGGATTAACAGAGTCCTAACATTTGTTTCCGCATGCTTCACCGCGACCCCTGCTCTGTAACTAAAGAGTGAACCGACATCCAAAGGCAAAACTTGGATAATCTTGCCTTATTTCGCAAATCTGGCTGCGATTTCCCTACAGATCACTATTTAGCAAATAAACCCACAAATATTATCTAATTGCATTTATCGAGGAGCTGTCATTGTAGCCATGATTGTAGAAGATTCATTTCATTTGATAAACTTTAGAAGAGATGGCCCTCTTACAATCAGTGGGTTAAATATCAACCTAAATCTCACTTAACAATATAACCTTAAAGAACCACTATAGTGCCAGGAAAACATACTCGTTTTCCTGGCACTATAGTGCCCTGAGGGTGCCCCCACCCTCAGGGTCCCACTCCCGCCGGGCTGGATGGCAAGGAAAGGGGTTAAACTTACCTTTTTTTCCAGCACCGGGCGGGGAGCTCTCCTCCTCATCTCCACCTCCGATCCTCCCCTTCGGCTGAATGCACGGGCGGGGCAGGAGCTGCGCGCGCATTCAGCCAGTCTCATAGGACAGCATTCTCAATGCTTTCCTATGGACGCTGGCGTCTTCTCACTGTGATTTTCACAGTGAGAAGCACGCAAACGCCTCTAGCGGCTGTCAATGAGACAGACACTAGAGGCTTTAGAGGCTGGATTAACCCATTTATAAACATAGCAGTTTCTCTGAAACTGCTATGTTTATAAAAAAAAAAAAGGGGGTTAACCCTAGCTGGACCTGGCACCCAGACCACCTCATTAAGCTGAAGTGGTCTGGGTGCCTATAGTGGTCCTTTAAACTGCATGCTTTGAGACTAGATTCATTGCCCATTGAAGTGTTGGTTGGCCATGTCCTCCAGTTACTTGCTGTTGCTGTAATTCTCCACTAGCTTTCCATGGTTCTAGTTTTGGCAGTGGGATGAGTACAGAAGGGTGAGCCCATCTTTTTTGAGAGCTTGTATTGGGTGAGCGATGTAGAAATCAGGCAGGGCTCGACAATTTCACCCCTGGTGAATATGCTATAGCTTTCAGTGGCTAGTAACTTTTTTAAAGCTTGGCTTGTATCATAGGACTTCAAATTGTAAACCCTGATTCAATGATTCATGGAATAGGGAATGTGTTGTGTAGATATAGTGGTGTACTCTCTGGAGACCCTTATGCCTCGTTTCCACTGAGCGGAACGGTTCGGGTTGGTACAGTTTGGAAGGGTTAGAATGGTCCAGCCTATTCAGGTGAGCGTTTCCACTGCAAGTCGGACCGCCAGGGGCCATGGGAGGCTTAGAAAAAATGCTTAGTGTGTCATTTGTCGTAAGCATTTGTTTTCCTGTCTGCTAATCAATGGATTGTATAGTGTGAGGCCAGTAGCTCCACCCTAACCGTACCATTTCATATGGCCCTACATCTGAAGGAGGACCAAGAATGGTTCGGTTTGGTTGTATGGGCCACTTTCATAATGTAAACACTCAAAATAGCGTACCGAACTGACCCGAACCGTTCCGCTCCGTGAAAACGAGGCATTAGAGAGGGATATGTGTTGTACTCTCTGCTGATCTGTAAAATGTGTTTTGTAGATTTAATGTAGTACTCTGATCTGTATTATGGGGTATGTGATGTATATGAATTGACATAGAATGTCACTCTGTTTGTGTTGTCACCAAATGCAAAAAAAAACCAAAAAAACTTGCCTTCCTAGTAATCTGAAGAAATTCTAAACAGTAAAATAAGGAAATGGAGTGCAGCAACACTCACAATTCCCAGCTAGCATCAACGTAAAGTCATTAGACAGAACCACTGGGATCCCACTCCTGCATATGGAGTCTTAGGATACTTTGTGGTACCATTTTTCTCAGAAAAGTACAGTCACACATAGAACCTTATTAATGATGCTGTTAACGAGCATCATCACTGCAGATGTTTGTGGACTATATTTCCCATATTTCCTATCGCGCCTTAATCCTGGCTGAGTATTCTGGGAAATAAAGTTCATATACATCTGCCTTGCCAAGATCGGCTATCACTGCTGCAATGGGAGTTTCCATCAGTTTATGCACTTCTGATAAAGCGCCATTTGAAAGACATTCTTGGATGTAGTCCATTTTTGTTTATCGTGACTTAATTAATCATTAATAAGGTTCTATGCTTGACTGTACTTTTCTGAGATAAATGGTATCCTATGACTCCATATGCAGGGTGAAATCCCAGTGGTTCTGTCTAATGACTTTACGTTGATGCTAGCTGGGAATTGTGAGTATTGTTGCATCCTGATTGCAGGGCTGAGGTTGAAAACGTTTAATATATTTTCATCTATTCTTATCAATAGACCACACCTTTTAAAAGAAAGGCTTTAAATCATGAGGCATGGCAACTTGACTCGTACATGATATCCATCTCACAACCCTTGAAGCCCAATTAAGTTTACTTTAGCTGTCCTTTCTTTATTTTTTTATTTTTTATTTTTTTTTATTATTGATGGAGGGGGGAGAAGGGAAACTAAAATGTTATCCCAAATTATTTTAGAGTCCTGCTTTGGTCTTAGATCGAGCCTCTATTACATGACCACTATTGATGTTACAACTGTACATTTTAGAATAGTGGTTCTTGATTTCTTGATAGTGACCCATAATAGGGCATTTTGGTGGGCTAACCATTGCTAGAGAAGGGAGCCCAAATTTGGTCTTCTAACTAGTGCACAATTCCCATAATCCTCGGCCAGCTGTTTGGGAATATTAGTGGATTCAAATGTTTTAGACCAAGGTTGGGAGTCACTGCTCTAAAGCGTGACTGTGCATATGCTGTTCTGAAGCTGCAATTCCCATTATCCACAGGATGATAGGAGTTGAGCTCCAGTGTTTGCTGCCATTGCCCGTCCTGACTGTAGACGCACCTTACTTCCTCTTCAGGTTTAAGTGATTCCTCATACTTTCCCTGACTCAGACTTTTTATAGAGAGATGACCAACAAACACAAATACATCTTGAATTTCTGCTTATGAAATGGGAAATTGCAGCGTTCTAGAAAGTGTGGCTAAAAGGATGATATTGATTTTATTTTATTGAAAAGGTCAGGTTTACGAGCAGATTGTAAATAGTGGGGTTTTGGGATCTTTGGAAACAGAACTAACAAATACTGCTGAGTTTATTCACCAATATTTAGATCAGTTAGAGATAACCATTAACATGCAGTGATTGTGGAATTAATTTTACATGACGCTTACGAGTAATGGTAAATGGCTGGCTCAGCATATTGGGAATGAATTCCACGCAGCTACAGCGATAAATATTAGCCATCATTAGACAGCCAGGCTTTGAAGTGTGCGTAGGCAATCTGTAGCTCTGCAGCATATGTTTAATTATGATACGATTGCACGCAAGGGAGTTAAAGGGGCGCTCCAGTAACTCCACATGTTTGCAATATTGAGCTTTGATTACACTTGGTTACGCTGGATGTTGCCATTTTTTTTCTGCAAAAATTCCATGTACAAGAAGGCATGACTTCTAGGCGTTGTAATTTAGTCGTTGGCTTTCTACATTACAAAGCAAACAATCGAACTACAACTCCCAGAAATCTGTCCTGTATTTATGGGATAGGCTTGGTTAAATGAGCATGATTGGCTGATTCATTTTCTATTCTGAATTTTGAGTAAATGCAGGAATGCCAAATGTGCAAGGTCCTCTTTGTTTCCAATTTATTATAATAAAGACTACCCCCCCAGCCTGGGATAAGCTTATAATAGATATTTGTGATCTTCTCCATTGTAGGTGGTTATAAACTCCCCAATAGTGAGAGGGTTGAAGTATAATCAGGCTACTCCCAACTTCCACCAGTGGAGAGATGCCCGGCAGGTTTGGGGTCTGAATTTTTCCAGTAAAGAGGAGGCCGTGCAGTTTGCCGCAGGAGTAACTCAAGCGTTGGAGTCCCTGGAAACTGGTAAGGGTGTCTGTACTCTTTCTGGCCGTTCACAAGAATTTCCCTTTCTTGACACATTGTAATCCTTTATATTGTATGTATTTGCCCTCCAGGTTCTTGTAATTGGCCTTCCCAAAATGGACCCAGGGTAGAAGAGCCCGAACAACCCCGGAGGTAGGAGCACATTCTGTCTGGAAACACCTACACCCAGGATAGTTCGGCTTTAACCCTTTATTAACAGAGTGAATGTTGTTTGTTTGTTTGAACGTATTAACATTGATGCAAAACAATCATCAGATGGTGGAGCTTCTCAAATCATTCTGTAAAATCACAACATTCTATAGAGCCAGAATACACCGTGTGCTAGTCGGGTGGTACAGTAACCCAGACAAACCGTTAAAAGACTCACTCCAGACACCCACCAAGATGCAGTGAGTGGGATGTGTTTAGTTTTTCTTATTAATCTTAATTTAAAAATATATATTTGTATTAGCCCAGCTCTTTTCTGCTTTCCACCATACCGCGATTTAATGATTAATTTTAATTGAATTTCCTTGGATAAGTTACTGTAATTCATTAGAAGTTACAAAGCTGGCTATGGTATTAACACGAACGGTGGATTTATGGCTCATTATTTATAGATTGTGCATATATAATGGATAACACCTATGCCTATTGTGGAGAAATGTTTTATTTACTCTACAATATTTGCAGGAAAACTGTCCGGTCCGTCTCTTGACCTTTCACTTAAACCAGGAACTGACTGAAATTAGATAGCCAATCTCTAACACCCCCCAACTGCCTTTTGTATGACAAATGGTGAGCACGCACGCATGTATGATCTCACACACGCACATACTTACTAATGTCTCAGAGACGTCAGTGAGCTGTTGCTTGTGCATGTTCAGTGTAGGTGTAATTGGCTTCTCATTCACTCCTGAAAGTGAATGGAAGCCGCCTTTGTCTTACTATTAATAACCATTTTGAAAAAAAGTTTTGTGCCGAATTAGGGTATTGAATAGCTATTTTATGTTGCGGTTTGAGTATATAAACTGTTAAGTAAATGTTTAAATTCTCCTCTCCAGTGGATTCTGATCACAATTTGAACATTCTTACCTGCTCGGCCCTGGAAATGCTAAGTACTTTTTCACGTCAGTACTTCATTTCACTCTGGTAGTTTACATGGGTTTATTACCTGAACTAGCAATGTGGTGAACGGGAAGAATAAAATCAGAAATGAAATAATCTCAGACATCGTTACTTTTATAACCCCGCTGCTTTGACCTATATTTTCCTATTTTACTTCCAGTGCAGTGTGTGTACTGAAAGTCCTTCCTTTGGAAATATAAACTCTATTAGGGAACTATAAAGAGCGGAACCTCTACATCTGATGATCTAGTAATAAATTAATCATACAGAGATGCCTAATCCTGTGTGTGTTCAAACAATCCCTTCCGTATGTCGAATACAATATAACAGTGCGGTTCATTGTTTCCCATTACTAGGGATCACAGAGCAGAACAATGCTGGATTTAGTGACATGGCGAGGCTAATCAAACTGACTCATTGATCTCTTAGGATGTTCAGTTTATAAAGCCCGCAATGTCCAAGTGGAGACTGGCCTTTTCGAAACACTGCTTAGAGTGTTATCTGTATTCTGTTGTATATTAAATATGGATATTTGACCATTAAGAGCTGTGGTACCTGTGGACTACATTTCCCCTAATGCTCTGCCAACCTGTAGTGCAGATGAGCATGGTGGTAGAATGTATCTGCTGCAAAGTTCTAACAAGTTATCTCTGCTCTGGGGATAACTTAAAAGTTTTAGTGTCTGGCTGCTTGTTTATCTGGACCTACAGTTCTCCTTATCTCTTTTTTTCCCTGTGCTTTAGATATACTGTATCAAAGTCTAACTGTCTATCTTTGGCCACACCATATAACTTTAATATTATGGTCCAGAATCTCCAAAAGGAGGCTCACTAGACATTGACCTGAAACTCCCATAGTACCCAGCCGCTTGTAGCCGCAGAGCATCATGAGAGTTGTTTCTAACCAACAGCTGAAAAGTTATCTGTTTGGACAAAGTGTCTTGTGTCTGACTACTGTACACAGGGTGCTGCATAAACTATTATAAACTGTTTTTTGTTTTCTCCCCCGGCCTCCAGGTTGCAACCCGATCCAGAACCAAAAGTTCAAAGTCCAGGTAAAGTAGTTTTAATTCTTAATTTACTATTTTTAATTTTTTTTATTTTAATGCATTCGCTGATGCATATTTGCTCTTCAATGGACTGGTTTTTGGTTTTAATTTTTTTTTTTTTTTTCTTTAGAAGAAGCCATATCTGATGTTACTGTTCTTTATTTTAAATTCATTGTTGTTCCTTACCTTCTGCTTTTTCTTATCTATCCACAGTTGCCCCAGTTACCCCAGTTACCCCAGCAGCTGGTCCACCAGCCCCACCTGGACCTCCTCCGCCTCCAGGCCCTCCCCCTCCACCAGGGGGTCCACCTGCACCTTCAGCGGGTCCACCTGCACCTTCAGGAGGCCCACCTGCACCTCCAGGGGCTGGTCCCCCACCACCACCACCCCTTCCATCTGGAGGCGGTGGAGGCGGTGGTTTGGCCGCAGCCCTTGCGGCAGCCAAACTCAAGAAAGTATCAAAGGTGAGGAAGTCAGATGGTGGGTAGGAAGATGAATGCCACTGTCTCCTGAGAGGGGTAGCCACAATTTTGTGTAATGGATCCATTATATTATGAATTCTATAGATAGTGTGTGTGTGTGTGTGTGTGTGTGTGTGTGTATAGATTCTCTGTAGGTGCAGTATATTCAGGCCCATTGAATTGGTTTAAAGGAACACTGTAGCGTTGGAACCGTATATCTGTATTCCGAACCCTACAGTATTCATGTCCTTCGTTTTATTTCCCTTGGCCTGCTAAAAAAAACAATAACAAATTAAAATGAAAATAAATTATTTACTGACCTTCTTTCCAGCGCCGAGTCTCATTCAGCGCTGCTGTGGCCTCCTCCTAGTGTGATGTCTTTTTGGAGGCATGCCTCCAGGATAAGGTCCAATCTGTTGCTCCTCGTAGAGCATGTGTCTACGATTCTACCGTTGAGAATCTTTGCATACAATGATTCTCTATAGAAGACAGTGACCGCACTGCGCATGATGTCATGGTATGCTAGGGTATGAGATCCAGGAAGCACAGTCCCGGCTTAAGATGTGTCTTAGGATGTGAAACTTGGGTTTGAGAGATCATAGACTCCTAGTCTTTGAGCGAGGATTGGGAGTATAGAGTTCTTTTACAAGAGAGTGTTATGATTCTAGCATAGTTATTTACTAACGTGAGAGTTGTCCAGTATTCAAATAGAATTTTAAATTTAATACCAAAATTGCAGAACTTAAAACTGAACTGACCTGGATAATTTTCTAAATTCAGCTATTTTGGCCTAATTTCTGTAATTCGCTTGAATTCCAAGCAATTCTCACATTTGCTTGTGGAAGTGAGTTCCTGGGATAACCTTGTTCCATTATTTATCATTTCTTTGTTGTCCTTTTACAGACAGAGGATGCAGGAGGTACCTCTTCACCAATAGGTGGAGGATCAGCCAAACCAGACCTCAGCCGCACCAGCGGTGGAGCTTCAGGGGGGGGAGGTGGTGGGCTGATGGAAGAAATGAATGCCAAGTTAGCACGCAGGTAAGGACCTCTTGCTGAGGCTGTAAAAATAATCGTATTGGTTTGGAAGATTAAGTTTGGTTCTTAAAGTGAGAAGGGACACGGTAACTAACAAATATACATTTTCTTTGGGGTGGGTACAATGGATATTTAGATATTTGCTCTGTCATTCATTCATTCCCACTCCCCACCACCCCTCCATAACTTTATTTAGAGCATTAGATGGCATGCCGAAGGGCCTCTGTGTTGGACTACAGCTCCCATAATCCTTTGTTGTTGCATAAGCAAACTGCAGGAATCCTGTTATTCAGAAAGAGTTTCCGAGGCTGGTAATGCTATGAACAGCTGTAATTCATGAACTTACGCCATCCTGCTATCACCAGTGGTTAGAAGGGATTGATACATAATCAATGTAACTAACCACATATTAGCAAAGCACGTATCCAATACTATATGGAGTCTTTTAAAACTTACATACAGATAAATATATGTGAATTGGAACAGTGGTATTGATCACACTCCCTTACTGAGTAATGTATGTGAATCTAAACAAATGTGGTTCCCATGGTGCAGTTAAAAACAAACAACTTATTGATCAGGTCAAGTGAATGTCACGCTATATAAAAATGGATCTTGTTTACCCAGGCAAAACCCGATCAGGGTTATTTAGTAAAGTGAGAAATGCCAGGAATGCAAACTAAATTACTCATTTTTTTTTTTTTTTTTTTAGTGTGTGTTCGTTCATTTATTTATTGGGTGTTTGGGGGAAATCTGTTTTGTTCTGCAATGTTGCACTATGAATTTAGATCTGTGTCACCAGTGATTACCTACACACTGTTTTATGTCTGGTATTACCCAAACCTTCTCCCTATAACAGGTTGAAGATGTCACAGCAGGTGGATCGCCCTGCACCCACTGCCACGCAGGATGATAATGACATTCAGGGAGGGAGGAACCAAAACGGTGAGTGCCAATTCTCCTATAGGGAGTCAGAATCCATAGCTGTAGGAGACAGCTTACCAAAAATGGTCCTTTGAAAGACTTGAATATTCCAACCAGTCATTCACAGCTTGGGTCAACTGCAGCCCATTGCTGGTATGAGGTGGTATGGGTAGGATGGAATGTAATTCAAGTGGGGGCCGGGCACCCTCATTCAGCGTTAAACCATTCCAAAAAACTTTAACACTGAACTGTAAGCAGGTACAAGGAATTAATTTCAATTGATACATTGCTGCAGCTCCACCTTGTTGCACATCTTCATTTTTTACTTGCATGTGTTAGACCTAGTGATTTTGGTCATGATTGAATGACTGGCAGTGTTCAGCAGGACCTGCTTGAAAGAGTTGCAGAACTCTGGTAGTGGTTATGGTGGTTAGAATATCCCTCTGTAGGAATATACGTATAAGAATGGAAATCTTGTTTCTTGTAGCATTGAGTTACTCTTAGACCGTAAAGCTGGTTGTAAAATTGCTTATAAAATTAATTTCTGGCTAAAATGAGAATACCATACCATAAGTATTTGGACAGTGGCACAAACTTTCATTTTGGTTCTGTATTGCATCATGCTGGACTTGAAATAAAAGTGCAACTAAGACAACAGAGTGCAGAATGTAAACTGTATGAATTGCAATGCTTCTATTTTAGTGGATGAAACGTGATTGCTCGGCAGTCCAGCTCTCTCTTTGCCACATGTGTATTGTGTTATAAACACGTGTATAAGAAATCTGAATTCACTATTGCTGCCGAGGTAGCGTCTTGCACTCATGACACCCAGACACCTGCTCCATCATTGAAGAATACTGACTGATTAACTATCCAATGCTAATAAAGCTTTGGTGTATGAGATTAGGAACCAGTCTTTCTCAGTGCAAAGGAAGTGCTGGGGACACATGCGTTCCACAAACATGACTTGTGTTACAAGTTATTGGAGAGGATGAAGACCGCATTATCCATAGATACTCTTGTTTGTGAAGTACAACTGCTGTTTAACAATATATTTTGCACATTGGGACCCCCTGCTCCCCTGGGAATTGTGAATACATTATCAGTTTGCTAATTCTAAAAATAATTTTATTTTTTTTCTTTGTTTTCTGTCCCTTATTAAACAGAACTTTATTTGTCTCTGGAAGGGTTAAGGTCTTTCATTCTGAAAGCGGACACCTCTTTATAGACCAGTAATGCACAATCGATGCTTACTGAATAATGGCTTTAAATGTGGATAGCTCTGAGTAATGCATGTCACAGGGCTGGGACTTGGCCTAACAGTCCTGTGTGTTTTTATTTTGTTAAGGAGAATATGGAGATTTTCCAACTGGTTTTCACATCAACTGTATCTTCACAGAAAACCATATGTTTCATTTTATTTATGCATTTTAAAAAAAATATTATTTCTTTGTTTCCTGCAGAATCTGCCCGTCGTCCCTGGGATAGAGGAAGCACCACATTGCCAAGGTAACCACTTCTTATTAAACTAAATAATGTAAGAAGGGGTTCATTCACTATTAACTAAAATGTCTATTTTTTTGCCTAAATGTTGCAGTTTGGTTTTCAGTACTATGCAATTTGCTATTTTAGTTATTGGAGAGCACTTGGCATGCTCAGTCTAATGTAATTAACCAATTATTAGGCTTGCACCTCCCAAATGGCGTTATTGTGATTTTGTAATATTTTACCCTGTGCTCTCAAACTGCAGGGTTATAACAGCAAGTGCAGGGTTTATGGACTCTTTTTCCATATAATATTATAGGTGCCGTGACTGAGACCCAGGCATTTCTACAGCTTACCTCTATGCCGTAAGAAAAGATACTGTTAGGGCTTGTGTAACTGCTCACCCACTTCCTATAGATGGACTGTAAACTTGTTCCTACTAGCTTTTTGGCTAAACTTAAGAACATTATCAATTCCTAACCATATGGAATTCCTGCCAGAATTAAGGAAATAATGAGGATTCACACAAATAAGATGAAGTTTTGATTTGTTTTGCAAGCATGCAGCAGTTGAGCAGTTTATTAAAGGTTAGCACTGAATGAAATCAAATACTGTACTGTGAGTTTTCTTTTAAATGTATTTTTCGCTATCTTTCCCTTGTCCCTCCAGGATGAAATCCACAGTCGGTAGTACAGAAGTGGCCCCAAGTTCCAGTCCAGAGGACTCTGATTCAATGGAGAGGATTAAACAGGTAATGGGAGCAGTCTGACCATCCTAAAATGCAGCTCAGTGCAGTGTTGTAAATGGATGGGATCTAGGCTTTAAAGGGACACATGAGGTCCTCCGTTTTATGAAAGATATATAAATAAAAGAAAACGTGCAAGATGCCCATTTACAGCTGCTAATACACCGTGAGGCAGCAGACTGCACATTCCAGGTCTGCTAGTGGCTCAACCAATCAGGGGTATGACCGTAACCTGCTCACACTGTCCAGTGAGGGTTTTGTGGGGTATGTAGTGTTTTTTACTAACTTTAATCGGTGGAACTGCTGCATATGCTGACAGCAGGCATACCAATGCAGATACCTGCTACTGCCTGCATCATTCAGTTTGTAAATAGGGCTGTGCAAAGTGTTCGCCTGAAACTGTGCAGTTTCATGCTCTCAGCTTCTGCTCAAGCTCTCTGTGATTCCAATAGGAGGGATAGGGACGAGCATGGAGTACCACTCCATTCCTGCTGCTAACCATGCGCACACCAGGTCTTAATGTGGTGCAGCAGAAGGAAGCAATTTAATTGTTAATGTGATGTCTCAGCTTAATGGGGGGCTGCAATCCTTAATGTAATGCCACAGGGGAAGAGGGGACCAACCCTTGATGTCATGCTGCAACACAGGGGGATTCAATCCTGAACGTGAGGCTGCAGAGGGCGAGGGATAATTGCTCTAGTCTCCGATGTAGATCTATAAAGTATCAATAACGTGCACATAAGAAGATAGAGTTGAATCTTACCACATATCTTGTGCTGCTTTCTGCATACAGCTTCCTGCACTGCTCACAAGTGTCGCAATATAATAGCCTGTGGCTTACTAGAGAAGTATTGCAATTCTCAAACTTGGTGCCAATACTGCAATAAACACATTTTGTAACCTGTAACTACTAGCTAGCTAAGTGATAAGAAGCTTCCAAAGTAAAATTAATTTTTTGTTTTGTTTTTGATTTTTACATTTGTAAACCATATTGACTTAATTGCCAAACAAATTAAGACAGAACATGTTCACGCCAATAAATAAAGTGGCCACCGACGGTGACCCTATGTAACAGAGACCGGGAACAATATCAAACTCTGGCTGGTTGTGCATTATAGGGTATTACACTGATTCTAGACAAGACTGGGAGCCGCAATTTGCTTTGCCATAGGAAACCCATTTTGATATTTTTACATGTATATCAATCTACCACTCAAACAGGGCCAGCACCGAATGACCCGGCTTTCGTGTCTCCGCAGGGGAAAATCAAGCGTTTCAACATGGGGCCATAGTCTAAAGGCAGCAGGCGGTGAAATTTAGACCTAACTAATCGATTGGAGATAGACTTAGATTCAGATTTAGTAAATCGAACGAGATTCATGTCTGTTCATAATAGACAGGCTAGAGTTTAGACTTAGCAAGTGATCGAGATACAATAATTGACATATTATAACATTTTGCAACATTAATTTGTATCCAGCTGGTATTTTTTTGTAAAGTGTCCAATTAAGGCTACACAGTTACAATACACTCTATACTAACCTGGACTTCTTGCTATGAAGTACCATCACCTGTCTGTCTATTCTATTTTTAATTTTAGTTATCATTTTTGTTTTTCCTACATTTGCTCTGTGGGAAACTGAGGTTTCTATAATCAATACCTATTTATTGTTCTTTCTTTTTTCACTTTAATATTATCTTTTTATAGATTTCTTATTAAAAGTTATGTTTTAAATAAATTACAAATATTTCTTTAGAGCAGTTCCTCTTTCTCTCTCATTGTATATCAATCTATTTATGTTCCTTTAGTAGTCATAATGCAGATTGCAAAGTTACAAAGCCAGATTCCTGTAGACTTCCACACAGCTCAGTTTAATTTCTGCTGCCTTTTCGGTGATTTCATATTCCTGGTTAAACTGGTAGATCTAGATGTGTCTGATGTTTACCCCAGGGAAGCCGATTTAATCGCGTATTCAGTAGATTTTGAAATGGTGGTAACTCTGCCTACTAAACTCTGAGTTCACATTTTAACAAGGAGGGTGTCCGCTGTGTGAATCCAAGCCTATTGTACTAGTCTAGTGTGTGAATATGGGGTTCACTAGCACAGCGCCCTCTGCCTGATTCCCCCAACGTTTTCTTGGTTACTTGGCTTATCGTGAGTAACTGGAACAACTGGGGACTGATCTGTGTTGTGGCGCTGACATACTGACTGGTCACTGCCTCATTACCACTGACTGACGATTCTGAGATGATGTAGATGTATAACTATTTTGTTACGCAGTGTGTTAATAAATATTGAATCCAGAGTCCTATTAAACAATGCCTGTTAAAATTCACCTGCTAGCTGCTGTTATAATAACACTTATAATTCCACTGTCAAGAATTTTAACCCTTGATACAAAAACCTGTACCAAATTCTGGCGAATGACAGATAAGGTGACGGAACTCTGAGGTTATCCAATAGGCATTAAGGTTAGGGGAGAGTCTGGAGTACTTTATCATGAGACAGCCATAATTTCATTAAATCAGATGTACTTATAGTGGTGTTTCAGAATATGATTTGTGGTTTAGATGTCCTGGGACATGGTGTTTCAGAATATTTGTGGTTTAGATGGGCTAGCACTGCACTGGGCATCATGGGTAATATAGTTCACAACAGCTGCCGTGCTGAACGATGATCAGTACTAGTTTTTAAACTGCGTTTGCTAAAAAAAAATGAATCTAAGCGGATTTTGACATCACAGTGCTGAAGTGGAGCAGGAGTGAATATGTATATAAATTAACACAGCCCTTTTGCTCTGCAGGAATTGTTGGAGGAAATGAGAAAAGAATTGCAGAAAGTGAAAGAGGAAATTATTGAAGGTGAGTCACTGACAATGCAAACCCTTTTGCTTTCTTGAAGGTTTTCATAGTGTATTTACCTGTCTGTAGTAGTGGAATGTCCTGCTGTTGAGAATTGCAACTCTTCTGTTCATGCCCTGCCCACGTTATAGCAGTCTATTCCAGTGATTCCCAAACATCGGTCCAGGATGTAGCCATTTCCCAGTTCTGTTCATAGAAGGGTCCTGACACATCCTGGAGATAAGACAAGTTTACTTTTACAGGGGACGTACTTCTTGAGGACCATATCAGGGCAACAAGAATACAGGCCTTGTGTATACATACAGTGTATAATCATTTAGAGTATTTGGGGGTGTAGACCAGCTGCACTACATGTGCAGCAACAGAGCATGAAACTAATTACCTATAAACCTTTTATCACCAAAGCCATATTATGAACAGTTAGATTACACATTCCACCGACTCCCTCTGACTGCTCTCTTAACAGTGTGCATTCTGTTAGCCAGTAATTACTTGGGAACAAGGACTGAAAATATTGGGCTGTCGTGGGAGATCGCTGTACTTGATTCAGTGACAGTCCATATCCTTAGATAAAATTGTAACTTTATTCCTCCGACGTTAAAGGGACTCTAAGAGCCCTTTAGTGTTTACAAGTTATTGTAATCATGTTGCAAGGAGTGTTACAATCTGTTTGGTTTCTGCCAAACTATTGAGTGATTTGCCAAAATAAACAGGGCTCTCCTGGGCCCCTAAGTGCATCATCTTGTGTGATGTTCTGTTTGTATGAGGTTTACATTACTGCATTATCTGTCCATAACCGCCAATGCATTGACTGCAACAATCACTGGACTAACACAGCGGCCGTGCATACGGCCTATCACTACAGTCCAAGCTTGGATTTGTACAAATAATACATTATCGAAGTGTCCACAAAGGAGGCTGAGATTTAGTTTGGCTGGAGAGCTCTGGTTTTGTTAAACCATTTGCACAAATAATGGGTTGGGTAGCCAAAGATGTCTTCCACCATACCCAGTGCATTAAGTGTTTCTCCTTTTTTGACCTCAATAGCTAAATTGCTAATCACTTATCAGAGAGCTGCGTATCGATACATAAAGAATCTAGCACTATCTGTAATACATGTTTCAAACCCATAACACTTACAGCCTGTCACTGTACAAGGAGCTGTAGCTGACACACCACCAGCAAGAATCCTAAAAATGATTTCCATGGGTGCACAAAAAAATGCATGACTTACACCCAGTGTCACTTGGAAAGTATGACTTGGAGTCCTGCCCTCCTGCGAGAGGAATGGAATAAAATTATACAAAGGAGAGGTGTTGGTTTAGGCAGAATGTGATCAGACACACGGGAGCAAGCAGCAGACTTTCAAAATCTGGTATATCTGTATCAGTGTAATAACTTGCCGTGATTAGAATATAGGGTGTGTTCGTGTACGCATACATAATGTTATTTAAGTGTTTTAGTGTTTTTTGTTTTTTTTTAATATATATATATATATATATATATATACTTTCGTTTTGGAGACTCAGTCACTCATTGATCCAAAATCTCTTTGAAACCACCGGAAACATTCTGGATCACTGTATAGATAACATTAAAATAAAATCACTTTTACTTTCCTCTCATGAAATCTCCTGCCACCTGCTGGCAATTCCATCATTGTCAAGCGTGAGCGAGGTGGAACTGGCCAACACATTTTCTAAAGCCTGCCTGTGTTTTATTTTAAATGAACAAACTTTCAGCTGACCACCTGTAGATCAGCCAGCAACGTTTTTAAAAATAGACTTCATATTAGCCCATCAGTTCTGGCATCCCTATGGCTGCTCACGGAGGGTGTAGGCAGAGCCAGTAAAGGAGTGCTTGCTGGTCTAGGCTTCATCGCCTCTTAATAATCTAATGCTCTATATCCCCACCTTGCCAACAAAATGTATCCAGTACTCTCTAAAATCTCTGTAGTCTTAAATATAATCAGAGTCATTTGTGGCAAGTTAGGCTAAACGCCAAAGGAATTTAACTAAATTTACTGTTCTTTGAAATGCAGAAGGACCCCTTGACCTTTTACGCTAGTTAGTCTAGCTCAGGAATTGCTTGGGAATGCATTCTTGAATAATTCCCAAATTCCGAAATTAAAACAACAACACTGTGGCTGTTGCTGCAATGGGGTTTTTCCAAGTACATTACAAATGAAATAAGACTTGTTACGGATGGGAGCAGCCGTGGGCCCTCGTAAAAATAAAAAAGTGTCTTACAATTTGTAACTTTTTTATTGGCCCTTGGTCTGAGGAAATAAGGATTTCATTTTTAACTCTAGACTGAGCTCGTTTGAGCAGGGTACTTATCAACCTATTGTTCCCGTAACATTTTGTGATTGTCCCATTTATTGTTCATTTTCCCCCTTTATAATTTTGCAGAATAAATTGATGCTATATGAATGTCAGTAATAACTTATCAATGTAGTCTGAACTGAAGCCCTCCCCATGTATACCTTGCACTTTGAAATTAAGTCTTGTTTCTCTTTGGTGGAGAATGTCTAACTTTAACCCTGCCTCTCACTATGCAGACAGACTACACCTTGTCCCCTTCACCTATGGCAGTGTTTGCAGAAGTTAATAGCTCAGCTTTTTACAATGCACTTCAATAAATGGGACAATGAACGACCGGATGTTTGTTTATAACCATCTATGAATCATAGCTGAAACCTTACCCAAAGCCTGTATCACGTAGAACTAGCAGTAAAATATCCATATATTTATTACAGTCCCTTTTTTAAAACCTTGCGTAGATGGGCATGCTAGAGACGGGTGGGTATTGGTGTTTAAGCAGAGTCTATCTCTGTATGATGAGTTGGTCATATTCCGATTTAACAAATTAAATACCTGCCAGTATTGTGGTATCTGAACCAATACCGAGGAAGCTGCAGCACTTTATAAACCATAGTCCCCAAGAACTGAACCCTGCGCATTGCATGCATTGGCTGCCATGCAAATCAGGGCGGCCAGTCAGAAAGGCACACGGATAGCAGGATTACTGGATGAATATGGCCTATCCACATGTGTCTAAGCCATTTAGTAACTCAACACCACTGCATGCAAGGAATTAAAACTAAACATGTTAAGTTTTCTTCTTCCAAACCGTCCATACGGCCCTAATTATTTAAATCTATTTATAAACACAGTTCAAAGCCAGCCCAATAAGCTTTAAGGATGCTCTTTGATTGCTGGCTTTGTGTGGAATGTCTGGTTCTCTCTGAAGGTGAAAATTGCTTAACATATGTTTAATTTCTCTTTTCTTCTTTGATTCTGTCTGATAATACAAGTTTAGAGGGGGAAGATGTGAAAGTGGCTCCTTTGCCATGCATAATTAAGCGGTCATGTGGAATCCACAATTTTCCTTAAGATGCAGTCTCACTTGATATGTTTTGTCTGTAGATCTTAAAGCCACACTATAGTATTAGGAATAAATATCTGCCCACCTGCGCTCCCTCCCCCAGTGGCAATCGGAGGGTTAAAAACCTTTTTAAACATGCTCCTTGGCACTAGCCATCTCCTCTGATGTCAGCACCGAGGAGTCTCCTCGAAGACTGAAATGCGCTACTGATCGTTGCGCAAATGCCAGATGCATAACTTGGGACACTGGCAAGATTGAGAACACATAAATATACAACTCGATTATACTGGTTGCTGCCAATATGATGCCAACTCCACAAACAATTGGAGTAACCAGTCCCTGCTAACAGTCTGCAAACTTATAACAATTCCATTAAAGGAATTACATTGTGTAAAACTATTATTTGTTAGTAGCTATAGCAGATTTGTTCTATTAGAACACTCCTTCTCCTGATTGTGAATTTATTAGATCTTTTTGAAATGTGTGTGATTTTTACAATCATTTCTTGTTTTGGCTTCCTTGTTAGCTGACTTGAATTTACAAACTCCAACTTGTCATGAATTAAACCTACTGCATAAACCCATACATTCACTGGTGGACTCAAGGTGCAGCAGACACGTGGTTCTGTACTGCTCTATCTTCTGCCAAAGGTTGTTTGCGCCATATGACTCTCACAAAGTCCTACAAAGTCCAATAATAATCGATTGATTATTTGGTCTGACTGATCTAATCAGGTGATATTTAGCACCATTGCAAATATCGGTATCTGCCTATAATCATACCGATATTGCAGAGACCCAGCACACGCGATCTTCAGTTCCTCTCTGCATTGATAGAGGACAGATGATAGCATGTGCTCTGTCTCAGCTGTCCTCTCTACAATATGAAACTCACCTGGCAGCTTGCACAAATCCACAGGACCACCAAGGAGTGTAATGTCACCCTCCTTGGCCACAGGGAACATTTGGGGTGAGGTGTGTATCGTTACCAGTTATTAACTCAAAGGGCCACGATAATCTGCATCAGCCCTTAAAAATATTGGTCGACCTCTACTGTAGAGGGACACTAGTATACACTTGACATATAAAACCTGGATTAATTATCAGCAGAAGAGAATAAAGACTAGTTCACTTACAAATGATCTTGTTAGCAGTTTTGAACTTTTCACAGCTACAATTGGCTAGTTGCAGATTTTCACGTTACCCAAGTTAGGGGAACTAATCTGGTGAAAGATGGTACATACAAAACGATTTCTACTGGCCATAAAGTATCATAACCAATTCCAGCCTAAACATTAAGGGCTAACCATATCAAGCGATGATTAACCTGGGTTGCAAATTAATAAAAAAAAATTTTAAAAATCCCAAAGGAAAATGTATACAACTTCACAAAAAAACCCTGAATATTTTAATATAGGCTTTGGAAACGTGGAGGAAGTGAGTTCCATCATTAAGTCACATTCATTTAAATATTATGTACTTATTTGTATCACATTTAACTTTCTCTTCGAGAGAGAGAGCTATATGGGAACACTTGCAGTTAGTTTCATATTTTTACTGTGAAAATATTTGGTATGTTCTTAATTTAACCGATTACTCAAAAAGTTTTTAATAAAACACTTTTTGGTTGTAGCAATTCTTCCTATTGTGGTTACTTCACCAACATAACATAAATCAAGCAAAAACGTGTCTCTGTTCCTGGGCCGAGGCCGGGTTATCCCAGCAGCCCTTTAATGACATACATGCTGTGCTGGCACTAGTAGTTATTTCGATTTCAAGTTAGGATTGTTCCGTAAACCAGAAATTTAAAAATCGTTAAATTGGAGAATTTTTCCAGTTTGGCAATTTTGGCCTAGGATTATACAGTTGCAAGAAAAAGTATGTGAACCCTTTGGATGATATGGATTTCTGCACAAATTGGTAATAAAATGTGATCTGATCATCATCTAAGTCACAACAATAGACAATCACAGTCTGCTTAAACTAATAACACACAAAGAATGAAATGTTGCCATGTTTTTATTGAACACACATGTAAACATTCACAGTGCAGGTGGAAAAAGTATGTGAACCCTTGGATTTAATAACTGGTTGAACCTCCTTTGGCAGCAATAACTTCAACCAAACGTTTCCTGTAGTTGCAGATCAGACGTGCACAACGGTCAGGAGTAATTCTTGACCATTCCTCTTTACAGAACTGTTTCAGTTCAGCAATATTCTTGGGATGTCTGGTGTGAATCGCTTTCTTGAGGTCATGCCACAGCATCTCAATCGGGTTGAGGTCAGGACTCTGACTGGGCCACTTCAGAAGGCGTATTTTCTTCTGTTTAAGCTATTCTGTTGATTTACTTCTATGCTTTGGGTCATTGTCCTGTTGCAACACCAATCTTCTGTTGAGCTTCAGCTGGTAGACAGATGGCCTTAAGTACTCCTGCAAAATGTCTTGATAAACTTGGGAATTCATTTTTCCTTCGATGATAGCAATTTGTCCAGGCCCTGATGCAGCAGAGCAGCCCCAAACCATGACGCACCCACCCCCATACTTCACAGTTAGGATTAAGTTTTGATGTTTGTGTGCTGTGCCTTTTTTTCGCCACACAGTGTTATGTTTCTTCCAAACCACTCAACTTTGGTTTCATCTGTCCACAGAATATTTTGCCAGTACTGCTGTGGAACATCCAGCTGCTCTTGTGCAAACGTGCAGCAATGTTTTGTTTGGGCAGCAGTGGCTTCCTCTGTGGTATCCTCCCACGAAATCCATTCTTGTTTAGTGTTTTACGTATTGTAGATTCGCTAACAGGGATGTTAGCATTTGCCGGTGATTTGCCAGTAAGTCTTTAGCTGACACTCTAGGATTCTTCTTCACCTCATTGAGCAGTCTGCGCTGTGCTCTTGCAGTCATCTTTACAGGACGGCCACTCCTAGGGAGAGTAGCCGCAGTGCTGAACTTTCTCCATTTATAGACAATTTGTCTTACCGTGGACTGATGAACAGCAAGGCTTTTGGGGATACTTTTATAACCCTTTCCAGCATTATGCAAGTCAACAATTCTTAATCGTAGGTCTTCTGAGAGCTCTTTTGTGCAAGGCATCATTCACATCAGGCAATGCTTCTTGTGAAAAGCAAACCCAGAACTGGTGTGTGTTTTTATAGGGCAGGGCAGCTGTAATCAACACCTCCAATCTCATCTCATTGATTGGACTCCAGTTGGCTGACATCTCACTCCAATTAGCTCTTGGAGATGTCATTAGTCTAGGGGTTCACATACTTTTTCCATGGTGTGTTCAATAAAAACATGGCAACATTTCATTATTTGTGTGTTATTAGTTTAAGCAGACTGTGATTGTCTATTGTTGTAACTTAGATGATCAGATCACATTTTATGACCAATTTGTGACGCATCCATATCATCCAAAGGGGTCACATACTTTTTCTTGCAACTGTAAATACACATCCTGATCCTAAGTTTAGAGAATAACTCTGTTTGTGGTTAAAGGAACGCTCTGGGCACCATAACAACTCAATCAGAATGAAGTTGTGGTACCAAAAGATCCTAGTGACCTTTAGACTGTTTGTGAAATTCTTCTCTCCAGAGTGGTTTAGTTTTGACTTTGTCCTATCGCTTCTCTTAGATTCTTCAAAAAGGGAGCCTCTGACAGAGAAGCAACTGACTGTCTGAGAGCGTCAGTTAACTCTAAGTCAATCAGTAGCTCCTCGTTTATATATAAAAAAAAAAAAAAAAAACTATAAATAAAAGCACTTGAGGAAAATACATGTTTCTCCAGCGGTTTGTGATTGAGGTGCTCCCAATTGGCTGAAAGTGTCAAGGGACACTGTAAGATAATCACCTGCGCCCGTCAGAGGCTTCCTGTTTAAAGAATTTCAAGAGAACTGGGTGAACCAGGACAGAGCTAAATGTCAATGGAGAGAAGACTTTGAGGTTAAACCATTTGTGCATGTTCACTCCTAAAGTTAGGCCAGCGCCAGGGACCTCCTGGCACCATAATAATCTCATTCCGATTTAAGTTGTTTTGGTGCCCAGAGGTTCCCTTTAAAAGTTTTATTGACCATACTAACCTTTAAATTAGGAACCATAATAAGAGGCAGATGTGTACTAATCCTTGCTGTATATATTCACTAGAAGTGTCTCTAGAAAAAGCTTTGTGAAAACATGAAAGATTGAATGAAACGATACTGACATTCCCCCCTTCTTTATTTTCAGCATTTACACTGGAGCTACGCAGACGGGGGACGCCATGAATCAAGCAAGCTTCATTCCAATGTCTCAGGCTCTACCAATTGTGCTCTACTGGGGGCCCAGCAATCCTTCCTCTGCTGTGCGGGGGTCCCATGAAAGGGAGGGTAGATACCCCCCCCTCAACACAATGCAATGTCTAAATCACGTACAATGCATGCTCTACTAATCGAATTCTGTACATGGCTCTACAATTGTATCCACACACTGCTCCTGTGCTAACCATAGATCTACACTCACCACATGCTGAACTACCATTGGCTCTACCCATACTGTATCCTGTACTAACCATGCGCATACATATTCTATTCATGTGCATCCACTTGCACAATATGCTATACTAACTATGTCTATACACCTACATCCACACACCATATGCTGCACTAATCAATGCTTTACAGTCCGTAACAACTCCCTGCCCAATACCAACTTCACCATACACTCTGCCATGTACCTCGAAACGTGTTAGCAGAAACTAAAAGCTTCAACCAATAGGATTATTTTTATGGCTTTTTTTTTTTATGGGAAAAAGCTATTTTATAAATGCAATACCTTTTTTGTTTTGTATAAAATTTGTTGTAGTACCTAGCTACAATATAGTATTGCTCTGAGGGTGCATAAGTGGTGATGGGAATAGGATTTTTTTTTTTAAATTGTTTTTTTTTTTTATTAAAAAAAAAAAACCCATAGAATAGTGGGTCACACACTGGATAAAGTGGAGGACAGTTTGGGGCCTTTCACTGCCCCACAGTGATGCTACACTAAGCACATGTAGCACAGAGATGGGCAGCCAATGGGATAAGTGCTTTTAAATATTTTATGCCATTATATATATATATATATGTGGGACTTTTTTTTGTATCCTGTTTTCTAGAAATAAAACTTGGCCTATTGTATTTGTGTAATGTTAATTGGATTTGCAAGAAATGGGTCTCAAAGCCGCTGGAAGCAGTCAAATCAACAAGGTGCCTGTTTATTCATCATACACAACTGTAAATTCTGCAAAAAAAAATCCTCAGGGGTATGGCTTGCACTAGGCAAGCCCATGCAGTGCCAAACCAGCTTCCTTGCTGTCTCCAGTGTCAGGGTGTAGTTTTTTTTGGGGGGGGAAAGCAGGTAAAAGGATAGAGCCTTTTCCCAATAGGGTGGATCACTTCGCCAACTGTTTTCGTTCTACTCCACGAGCCCTAGCGTCCACCTCCTCTGTTAGGAGCCCCAAACGTGCAATTTCTGCCTCCATTACACTTAGTCGGGCCTCTAGTTCTTCCTCTTTCCTTTTGGAGTTTGCAGACTGCCTTGAATACTCTGCCACAAGACAACCACCTCCAACGAGGAAAATTATGGCTTCTCCCAACAGCTCTGCTCCCAACTCTGCTGCTACTTCTTCATTCAAAGGCTTGATAGCTGCACCACGAAACCCCATGATCCTCATTTTCGCCCGCATCTCTACCCAGTGGTACACTGCAGAGAGAGAGAGAGACTGAATGCATAATAAAGAAGGAGTAGTATCAAGCATGAGGACCTTGCCCTCAAGGAATTATTTTTTTTGCAAAGAAAAGTTAATCTGTGGGAGCATTTTGTTGGGCTGTTTAGATTAGATGCAGGCTCCTAGGAAAACGCTAGGTCTCCTTTGTTCTTCTTTAATAGAGTATTAGCAATGATATATCACAGGTGGAAGATTAAAAACAGAACTTGCAAATATTAGGCCAAAATAATAAAACTGGACATTTCTCACTGATAAATAACCAAGCAGGCCTTCTCTTTTTACAATATTGGTGTAAAACAATTTCATTAGGAATAACATTTTAATTCTACAATTGGCTACCAGATGAATAGTTCAATTATTAGCAATTTATTTTTTTTCAATGCCCATGGCAATGAGAGACAAAGATATCCAGTAATGCTTAGCATGCAGCCACACGCTAGGTATTGTGGGATACTTTGGGGGTGTCCGAGGAAGTAATCCGGATTTCTTTATTGCATACATGGGCGATTTTAATGATGTATGTATATTTTAAAGAGTAATGTTTATATTATGACCGTTTTTTTAAATTTCCTAGTTCAAACATAGTAGGGTATCAGATACCTTTCTGTTTATGCAAGGACTGACATTTGATGCAAATAAACTAAGTTCTATTCACCGTTCAATTGAAATTAACCGCAACACAGAGTGGATGTTCATCCTACGGGTAATGAGAGCGACATTCCTCAAGATGGCCCTACTTATGACCCAATAAATGGTGGAGATAAATTATGTCTTGAACTCCTCTGCATAAGTCATGGCCCCAGCGAACCTTGCTAATGTGTTTAGTGGAGTGACTTAAAGAAAAAAAAAAAGTCAAAGAAAAAATGTGCAAGTTATTAAAATAACAGCTTTAAAGCTATTACAGCTGGTGCCTGATGGTTCAGAATATTTAACAGATCTTGGCACTCGTCTTCCGTCACAGTTGCTTAACTCAACCTCTTACTCAATATATGAAATTCACATTCTGAAGAATTAGTCCTGTGTATCACAAATACCTATTAGAATGTTAGAAGCTCACCAAATATGTTCAGTAATGCCCTATTAATTAACTATGCCTCCTTATACCCCTACAAATAGTGTCCCTGTGATCAAATAAAATGCTGGGAAATAACAGACAGGGTTCTTGACTAAACCTGGAATTGCTGGGATTTGAAAGTGAATTTCACAATTTAGTCTAAAAAGTACATATTGAAAACAGAGTTGACTTGGGAGAGTTTCACAGTCTTTCAGATTTTGGCCTAAAATTTCAAGTTTACCCCACCCCCATTTCAAGCCCAGCTTATGTAGTAAAAGGTAAACAAAACTGTTCTGCATATTTAACTTCTAATTCCAGGCAAATTACATTTTAATGACTAACCCAGCTAGTAAATAAATATTTATGTGCAGGTAAAAGGGGTCGCCATTTTGTATTCACTATCCAGTAAGTTGTGATATTATTACCAACCTTAGGGTTAAACCATTTTAATGAAGTTGTTATGGTGCCCATTTTAATGAAGTTGTTATGGTGCCCGGAGTGTTGTTGTAAACAGTCACATTGCACCAACGGAACTTTGCATAACCCTGAGCCAACTCTCATTTCTTCAGAGAGGCTTCAAACTGCTCAACTACAGTGAACTTAAAAAATGCTGCTGCTCTAAGGCAAGAGCTCTGTGATTTGACCAGTTTCAATCTAAAATTAAGTGTGCAGTAAACAAAACGCACATTTTCCAACCCAGCACTATTTATTCATCACTCAAGGGATATTTGACATTTGTTACAAACTCCCAAACATTTTCATGATAGGGTCATTGTTACTAGCTATCAGTATTGCTGGTCTCACAATTATTTTAGAACTCTGCATTTATTTTTAGAATGATGATACATCTATCTCAAACCTTGACCGCGTCGTCTGTATCACAAATCATCTGCTATATTTTCCTGTGGCTGTTCATATGAATTTTTCCAGAACTGTGAGCAATGCTTCACTCACACAATAATTAATCTTCAAGCTCTCGCGAACACTCAATCCCTACACCGGACATCAGCTCTGTGTGGGGGAAATATTTGCTATACATTGTCTCCCTGGGGAGCATTACCCCTAAGTCAGTTCTCACATGGTTTCTGTCCCTGGATCACTTTAATGAGACAGTGGACCCTGAGACTACTGTTGCGGTTTGCAATATAAACAAATTGAACGGTTACAATAACATTTTTTTTTTTTAAAAAGGCCCATGTTTTAGTTAAACGTTGCTCTTGCTTCCGCTTTATGCTTTGTATGCATAGCGTTTTTTTTTTTACAAAATGGTGATTTTAAAGGCTGAAACCAGCCAAGTTGGACGGACAATTGATTGAACGGGGGGAATGGGCTTTTTTTTTTTTTGTAATCTTTATTTATAATATAAATATTTTCTATACATTTGCTAGCACAATGCCTAGGTCAACATTTGTTCTCTTTCATTTTAGTGAGCGAGTGCCATAACTGGTAAACTAAAGGAACACTTAAAGGGACACTATAGTCTCCACAATAACTACAGCTTATTGTATTTGTTCCGGTGAGTAGAATCTTTCCCGTCAGGCTTTTTGCTGTAAACACTGTCTTTTCAGAGAAAATTCTGTGTTTACATTACAGCCTAGTGATAACTCCCCTGGCCACTCCTCAGATGGCTGCTAGAGGTGCTTCCATGACAGTGCTGTACAGTGTGACTGCCATTCAGTATCTCCACCCTCTGCATGCAGACACTGAACTTTCCTGATAGAGATGAATTGATTCAATACATCACTATCAGGAGATGCTGATTGGCCAGGGCTGTGTTTGACTTGTGCTGGCTCTGCCCCTGATCTGCCTCCTTGACAGTCTCAGGCAATCCTATTGGAAAGCATTGTGATGGGCTCAGAGAATCACTTCTGATGATGTCCGCCAAGCAGGCAGATCAGGGGCAGAGTCAGCAGCCACAGACTTGAACAAAAGTAAGATTTTACTATTTTTAGGGGGGGCAGATGGTGGTTTTAACACTATAGGGTCAGGAATACTTGTTTGTGTTCCTGACTCTATAGTGTTTCTTTAATGTATTCATTTTTAACAATTTAGTAGATTTACACAGAGAAAATAAGAAAACAAAAAACCAACAACTTCCAAAAGCTACAGAGAACCCTCCCGTTTCCCCAGTACAAACTTTCAATCTGTACTCAGAGCTTCTTGTTGCTTTTTCTAAAGAGGTGCAGCACAGCTCATTAACAATGGGAGAAGGCAGGCACGTGTCAGGGAGGTCTTTGTGGCCCAATTATGAAAAAGCTAATTTATACTGAAGTCTGAGCTTTTATAAACTGTCATGAAAATGGCAGACTTCAGATACATAAAGCATTTCACCATGCTGATCTGCTTTATCTATGCAGAGTGTTCCTTTAATCCATTAACAAAGAGATGAAAGCAATGTCAGCATTGGCTTGCAGTATTCTTTTTCCAGAAAACCTACTGTCAGGTATTGTAAACCTGTACCCTGTAATTTTGGTGAAAGGCATGGGTAAAGAGGCAGTTTATCCATTCAGAGCATTATATACTGAGCACCCTCTCGAAAACACTCTAGTTAACAGTCCCAAACCAGTCATCAAGGTCCACCAACAGTCCAGATATTGTCAATATCTCCATTGGAATAAACATGGTAAATACACAAATCCTGGATTGTTGGTGGGCCATGAGGACTAGTTTGGGAACCACTACAGACCACAGAATTTCACACATAGATTATAGGGAGCCAGGATTCCACACAATAATTATAAAATCTTCACATTCAGTATGGTATATATCACGTTATCATTTTTGTAGAAGAACTGGCACTTCCTCCATTTTAACATAATAGTTAACTAAAAGTTAAAGGTTATGATATTTTTTTAAATGTTAAAACCTCACCAGTCACATTACAGAACTGCAGTGGTGTTACGTTTTCTTACTTACTTCTGCTGTTCACCCCAGTAAATGCTGAATTAGTATTTACTGGGGTGAAGGAACTGTCACTTCTGTGGAAGTGATAATTCTGCTTTTAAAGTAACTAACACTCACTTTAATTTTTGAAGTATTCCTCATCTATTGCAGGCACTCTCCCAATGAAAACAAATCTGGCAATGTGTCCCCTCTCACCACTGCTCTGCTGAGACTGACAGTGATGACAGTGTGCCCATCCTCTACTGACAGATTTGGCATATGGGCCAATCAAATGCGGAAAACACCCAATAAAGAGAATAGAATATATGGTATATCACATCAGCATAACTGCCAGGGGTGTGTTCTTAAATTAATTCATAATTCTAATTAATAAATTAATACAAGTGACACGTTATCTTAAATTGGTACACGGAGGTTTGCAGTTACCCACTAAAGCACGTCAGCAACCTGTGAGGTTCTCTGCATTTTGGGGTGAAGTGTTTTCGCTGTACCCCATTTCTTTGGTGTGCAACATGAGTTTGAGCAAAAGATACTCCCTGTGATAATCTCCAATACTCTATAACAGGTGTGGTCAATCTTCGGAACTCCAGATGTTGTGGACTACATCTCCACTGATGCTTTGCCGGCATTACGGCTGTAAGAGCATTATGGGTGATGCAGTCCACAACATCCGGAGTGACTACGATTGCCTACCCAGTTCTATATAATAATAAAATCAGCCGCGTGACGGTTTGATTTCTTTATATTATCTATATACTAGGACAGTGCTGCTCTGTGGTATGCGGCCTAAATATGCTTCAGTATGGAAATCAAGGTATTACACAAGCAGGAAACCTGCTCTAGTACAGTAGTTTACCCCAGCAGCATATCAATGCTACATACTTTAGAGCAGCACTTTTAATGAGCCAACACATTAATTAGTTATGAGTGCCCAGAAGATCATGGCAGAGCTGGAAACTCTGATTAGAGAACCTGGGAAATTTAAAACTTTGGCACTGCAGCTGTTCTAGACTACATTTCCCATGATGCTCAGTAAGTTCTGGTAGCCATGCTCCTCAGTTGCTAGGATACCAGTGGTTACCAATGAGAGTTACTGAGACCATCACAGCCCAGCATGGGACCTGCCAGGCAGGGTGACCTCAAACTGACAGAGAGCAGCGCCCTTTTAAATCCCCGCAATCTGATTGGTCCGCTTACACCCGCCCCGCTCTCTGATTGGTCCGCTTGCTCCTGCCCCGCTCTCCCATTGGCTCAGCACCCACGCAGTCCCCTACAGAAGCCCAGTTAGGCCAAATCACCTTGAGCGGGCGGCAGGCAGACGTAAGTCCGGAAGAACTCGCTCCGCCGTGCGCCGGCTTTAATGCGGTTGGCCAGGGGTTTGCTCAGCTGGCGGACTCCCAGGTACAGGAGCTTAGCGATAGGGAAGGCGCCCACCACCATCTTACGGACGTCACATACCGGTAAACACCGCCCACCGCCAGCTACGTCATCACGTCCGCGTCTACCTCGAGGACACGCCCAGTTCCAGTGAGTGGGCGTGGCCGGTGAGTGGGCGGGGTCAGGGCACAGGTTAGTCATGTTGTGTCAGACTGGCAAGTGTTCCCTAAGCTGGGAATAGCTCAGTGCAAGGCCAGAGCAATCGAACTGGAAGCATGGCTGAGAATTTCTCCAGTTCGGCTAGTTTGGCCTGAAATTTAAAATTCACTCAGAATTCCCCAAAATCCATTCTGTCAAAATTAATAAATATTAAAAAGTTAATTTTATTTTTATGCAAAGGCAGATTGTGTGCAGGCGCAGCGCTAATATGGATAAACCCATACAATGGTTCTCAGCATTTTGACTTTGCGGAATGTTTTGTTGCCATAAATACCGGCGTATTCCGAGGGAACGTTCCGGCAAGCAACACAAATATTAAATAATAAAAAAAAGTTTAAAAAATGATAAAGGCACACTATAGGCACCCAGACCACTCGAATTCGCAAAGACCCCTGACAGTAACATCACCGCTGGGAGTCGGGGATGGCTCAGTGAAATTCCAACAAAGTCAGAATTAGTATTTAACCCCTTAAGGACACAACTTCTGGAATAAAATGGAATCATGACGGAATATTTCCATCATGTGTCCTTAAGGGGTTAAGAAAGATTCGGTGCCACTTTAAGACAAACTCTAATGGCTGTTTTCCAGATTGCCACTAGACCAGACCTGCACAAATTGCGCCCCCCCCCAGATGTTTTTGAACTACAACACCCATGATTCTTTGAATAAAACAGATAGCCAATGCCCATGATTCTTTTAATGAAAAAGATAGCCGACGCCCATGCATGAAAAAGATAGCCAGGGGATCATGGGAGTTGTAGTTCAAAACATCGGGAAGTGCAGGCACTTCCTGACTTCTAACATCCTTTCGCTTTGTGCTGGAAAGAGGTAAGGGGGAAAAGTTTTTTAACCTTTTCATGCCTGCAACTGGGTTTCTCCAACTGCTGCCTTTTTGCTACCACTGCCAGGGATACGTTTGACATTTTTTTTTAGCAGCTTTGTTTATTTTGTTATAGAAAAACAACAACAACTGGAATTAATTGTAATTTGTCCCAAATTTAATTTGCACAAATGCTACAAAAATGTCCTCTGTTGCAGCATACCTCATTAGTATCCGTCTAAATGTCCTATATATGTAAGGAAAGCCCATATTCGGGCTCTGTCATACCGTCAAGGTTTGGTACTCTGCTGTCCCACATCTGGGGTTAAAGGTTCACAAAAAGCACGGCATTATTAAATGTGCTCACATCACACTAAGCTGACTAAGCTGTCAATACAAAAGCACTTCAGCAGTGCTCTGCATGTGTAACGCTCTTATAATAGTGACATCATGGCTGCCAGACCAAAACCTGATACACATGCAAACAGGACTGGCATGATCTCCTACGGAATGTCATTAGTGAAGCAGTTTGCATTAAAAAAAAAAAAAAATACCCTGGCTGGATGGAGTGCATGTGAATGACATGGTCAGCATTCCTCAGTTCCTAGCACAAACCTGAGTTTTAAAGGGACACCATAGTCACTAAAACAACTTTCGCTTAATGAAGCAGTTTTGGTGTATATATCATGCCCCAGCAGTCTCACTGCTCAATTCTCTGCCATTTAGGAGTTCAATCACTTTGTTTATGTAGCTATAATCACAATTCCCTGCATGTGACTTACACAGCCTTCCTATACACTTCCTGTAAGAAGAGATCTAATGTTTAAACTATAAATACAAATATATTGGATTCTGATTAATTTAGAATGTCTTATCTCCTGCTGTGTTAATTGCTATCTACACCCTGCAGGATCCTTCTGTGTGTGAATTAGGTTAAATTTCCAGAGCAGAAAATAAAAACTCTAAAGTAAGTTAACATCTGATTAAAAGTGAAACTTTTTTTTCATGCAGGTTGTGTGAGTCACAGCTAGGGGAGGTGTGGCACGGGCTACAAAAATAGAAATAAAAGTGTTTTAACTCCTAAATGGCAATGAATTGAGCAGTTAAACTGCAGGGGCATGATCTATACACCAAAACTGTTTCATTAAAGGGACACCATAGGCACCCAGGCTACTTCAGCTCTTTGAGACACAGGACCGGCACGGAGGGAGATAAACTCTGGAATTGGGTGAGTACACAATGCTTTTTTTTAACTCTTTATGAGCTGAAAGGTGGGACGCAAGGGAGGAGGGGTCCAGAGGGAACTATAGTGTAAGGAATACAACTTTGTTGCTTAAAGCTAAAGTTGTTTTCGTGACTATAGTGTCTCTTTTAGATGAAACTGTATTATTTGGGTTCAGGACAACTCTTACTACCAGGGCACCTTAAGATGCACTATTTACTGCTATGCCTATGGTATAGTATAGTAATAAAGTCCAGGAAAGCCAAAATACGTAAAATTGAGATTAAGTCTCTACCATTACATTAGCTAGCACAAGTAGAACTTGCTAGTCAGAGGGACTAGGAACGACCCTGACAGTTTAATTGGTGGGTAATAAATGTACTCCTCTGGCATTCCTCTGGTGTTGGCCTGGCCTCTCTTTTAGTTTGGGGTGTGGGAATAGATGGGATGCAGGCAACCTTGAGGTGTCATGCCATACTGTGAGGGGGGTGGGTTCACAGTTCTGCTGTTAGTGGGGTCCTGGAACGTCCAAGCTGATATTTTCTTTATTTCTTATTTATTATCTACAGGGTTAATCACTAAACTCAAATTTGTCAGGAATTACTTTTAGGTCAAAGTAGCTGACTTGGATAAGTTGTTCCGTTTGTTTATTTTAGTCTATAATTTACAGTGTCGTTTCCCCACTAATGCATGGTTTAGTTAGTGCATAGTCCTGAAACTGAGTT